TCTTCCCCGCCCTCGTGCGCGTCGGACGCAAGGGGGGGCAGCCCAAACAGGGTGTGTTCTAAAGAAGCAGCTCGCGCGTGGCTGCCTTCCCCGGCGCCTTCCAGCCCCGGAGGCGCCAGCGTGCCGAGGCTCGCGCGCCCAGCGCCGGGGCCGCAACCAGCTGCGCGCAGGAGACTTCGACCCCTCCCTTCCCTGATCCCCCCCCCTCTAGCCATCGCTCGGTCGTCCATTCCCTGTGTTTCTTTCGGTTTCGTGCGGTTTTTTTCGCCAAATGATCAAGGATGCTCCTCGATGGTCCTCGCCGAAGGAAAAACGCACACGTCCGAGCGATGCCAAGCCCTTTGCCCGACCTGGTCCCCGATCCCTCCCCCCCCCAGCCAGCCAGATACACGGGCAGGAAGCCGTCTTGCCCGTCGTCGGCCATGCCCTCGACCCGGATCCAGTCGTCGCCTGCCCCGCGCGCCCCGGCCCCACATCAACGCCATGGCCGCAGCTCTGGGTTGCAGGACTCCTCCTCCTCCTCCTCCTCCTCCTCCTCCTCCTCCTCCTCCTCCTCCTCCCTCCTCCTCCTCCTCCTCCTCCTCCTCCTCCTCCTCCTCCTCCTCCTCCTCCTCCTCCTCCTCCTCCTCCGGCGCTGCGAAATTGGAGGGCACTGGAATCTTCTGGAGGTCTCCTCACCCTCCTCCTTCTCCTTCACCGTCGTGTTCACTCCGCCTTCCCCCTCAGCTCGCTCCACGCTGCACGCGGCCCTTCGGCAAGCCCCCCCGCCCCCCACAAGGCACCTTCGGCGATACCGGCGACGACGGTGCCCCACTCGGCAAAGGCACTCGTGCACTTGTCCTGCGACCGGTCGTCGTCGTCGTCGTCGTCGTCGTCGTCGTCGTCGTCGTCGTCGTCGTGAGAGGAGGTGGAGGGGTGCAACGGAGGGGTACGGAGAAGGGAGAGGGAAGGGTGGGATGATAAGAGGGGTGTGGGGGGGAGAGTATGGGGGAGGGGAGGGAAGAAGGATGGGGATAATGATGGGAGAGCAGGGGTAGGAGAAGGAGAAGTATAAGAAGAAGAAACATAGTTTGATATATGGACATGCAGGGGTTTGTTTCTGGAAGGGATGAGAGGACATAAATGTGTGTATGTGTGTGGGGGGGGAGGAAGATGAACAGGGACAAAAAGGAGCACGGGAAAAGGGGATGGTTGGGGAATGAGGGTGATGTCCGATGTAAGATGTCTGATGGGGATGATGGTAGAATCTGTCAGAGACTGGAAGGGACATGCGAGGAACATTCATGGGGAGGAAGGGGAGGAGGAGGGCGATCAGGAAGGAGAGAGGGAGGGTGGGGAGGTGACGGCGGGGGGCAGGATGAGAACGAGGAGGACGGACAGAAACTTCTCCCACGTCTCTCTGCGGCGCACGACCGCGGCAAACACGAGGACCCGGTCAATGCGGCCTATATCTGCACGAGAAGCAGCACACCTGCACGCGGGAAGAAAGCATTCGACGCCCCGCGGCCTCTCGCAAAACAAAGAAAGGCGAGGGCGAGGAGCGCGACGAAGGGACTTGAGGCCCCCCTCTCCCCCTGGGGCCCCAAGGGTCCGGCTGAGATCCGCGCGTGCCCCCCCGAAACGTGGACCACCGCATCCGACGCATCCCCAGCACGGTGGAACGTGACCGAGGTCTCGGCTAACGCTTGGACGGACTCCCCACCAGACCATTGAAACTTAATCTCAGGTCGGGCATGTCTTCCTACAGGCGGGGTTTGGAGGAGAAATGAAAAAGTCAGCAACTATTCCCCCAAAAACCAAAACAAGTCAGAACTTTTCAACAAGAAGCAACGCATAATCAAAACATCGTCCCCGTACTATTTTCAGACTATATTTGAACCTTCCTCCTGTAGAAGGACATGCCCGACTTAAAGCCTAACCCGAAGACCCAAATCTCGGGTTGGGGGGGGTACGGGTTCCACATGTCTTGTGTGTTTTAAAATCTTCCCCGACGCCCCCACCCACTGGGAATGGAGGGCAGATTGGGGCCTTCGGGTTGGGTTGGGATGGTTTTGTGGGTGGTGATGCACAGTCGGGAGATTTTGCCTGGTGTCGCGGGGGTGGCGACCCCAACGACACGCCACATCCCGCGGGCCGATGGCGTGTCGCTCCGCTCCGCGGGGCGGGAATCGGGGAAGAGCACGGTCAGCTGGCGCCGGGAAGCGGGAACGTGTCCCGCACGTCGCGCCGAACCGCGAATGGGGCCAGAGCCGGAGGCGCGACACCCATGCCGCTGAAGAAACAATTCTGGCCTGGCCGTATTCCGTTGGGCCGTCCGGGAAACCCTGCGCAAAACAACACATGCCATCTCTTTGAGGCTGTGTTGCCCTCGCCGCACTCCGCCGAGCTGCCGCTGGCGAAGCCGCCCGTGTCTTTTCTGTTTTGCGTCTGCCGCCTGGCGCCGGCCTTCCGCCGAGGAGGAGCGGCTCAGCCCCCTCGATTCCTCGACAGCGGGGCCCTGCCTGGCTCGCCGCACGTGGCGAGAATTCTGCGCCCCCACAGACGTCGTGGAGGGCGGGCGTGGCCTTGCCCTCACCAAGCAAGACGTCTGGCGGGCGGCGCTCAACGGAGGAGGAGGAGGAGGAGGAGGAGGAGGAGGAGGAGGAGGAGGGGGAGGAGGAGGAGGAGGAGGAGGAGGAGGAAGGGGAGGAGGAGGAGGAGGAGGAGGAGGAGCCCCTGTTTTACTCGACGAATGGGGCTGTGTGTGCCTGGAGAGAATGGCGTACAGTGTGTCTGGCCACCCGTCGCTGGATTGGACCTCCTGTCGATCCTGTCCTGGTCAGCTACGCAGGCTGGTGCGCACGCTCGATCGATGCTGCGTCACAAGCGCGGCGGGGGCAGGCTGCATGCGAGGGAAGGCTGCGTCTCGAGAGGCGATACAATCTGTGCACGGCGCTGGAGCGGGGAAACATGACAGGGCGGCACTCGGCTACCGTGCAGCCAATGCGACGGCGCAGCTACTCCACCGAAGTCGAGCGGACAGCAGTCGTCATCGTGGTCCGCGAGGCTGGCTGCAGGGGCGGGAGGAGCACGAGGGGGGCGCGCCGTGCCCCCGATCGGTCCTCCACGAACAAGCACTGCTGGGTCAAGACGTCGAGCCAACTTGCTGTCTCGTCTTCCAGCCATCTGGGCGGGGCCACACCAGCGTGGCGCTGGGCCCCTCCCTCCGCGATGAAGGCGTTCGTGAGGAGGAGGAGGAGGAGGAGGAGGAGGAGGAGGAGGAGGAGGAGGAGGAGAAGGAGGAGGAGGAGGAGGAGGAGGGGTGCGGCGTGGAGGCCGGCCTCCTCCTGCGAAGGCAGGAGTGGGGTCCTGTCAGGAGGGATCGGCCCTCGCCAGAAGCCTCCGAGAAGGCTTCTCAGGGAAGGCACTTCTTTCAAGGAGCCCAAGGACACACCAATACATAACTAGACACAACTCCCAGGATTCCCAGTCTTGTTCGATATTTATTTGGTCTTCGTCTTCCCCTCCACTTCCTATATGTTCCAAGTCTTTTCCTGGGAGTCAAAGATAATTTGTGTCTGTGTGTGTTTTTCCCCACCTGAACCTGTTGGCACCCAAATCCAAGGACCCCCTTTCGGGGGCGAGGTGCGGCTGGCCCGACCGCCGCCCCAACGAGCCGCAGCTGCAGGGACGCGGCTCAGCGCAGGAGGTGCGCGGCGACAGCTCTCATAGGCCACGAGGGCTTCCACGAAGCTGCAGTTGAGCCCAGGTCACCCGCGGGGGCACGCAGACAATCGCGCTTCGCGCGTCGCGGTCTGGGCCAGAGCGGCTGCCCTGCTCCAGGGGGGCGGCGTGAGGGCGCGCGGGTGCGAGGGCGCGAAGGTGTCGCGCGTCGCGGGGCGCGGTGCGCGATGCGCGAAACTGAGCGACCTAGGTGAGCCGTAGCCGCCAGGTCGGCGTTGGGCTGGCGGGTCTTGGTGGTGGCCCTTCGCCTGTGGGCGTGCCTGGCCCGGTGGCGGGGCAGCCGAGTGCGGCGGCATGGAGCAACCTCAGAGACCACCTCCTCCTCTTTGCTCCCACCTCAATCTCCGAGGCGCCAGTCTCTGACACCCCAGTGTGCCCCGCCGGCCCATCCGCTGCATGTGATCGGTCGGCCCGCGGCGTTCCGGCGGCCACTTCGCCTCACGCCGGGGGAGCTCGATGGTCGCCTACGCTGCACCTCCCCCCCCCCTTTCCCACGCCTCCGCGCCACTCTCCGCCTCCGCCTCCGACTCCCTCTCGTCCCTGCCCGTCCTCCTCCCTCTCCTCCTCCCCCCTCTCTTTCCAAATCCCCAGTGCCCTCCCCTGTTTGTCGCTCCCGCCATCGTCATCGTCATCGTCGTCGTCGCCGTCGCCGCCGCCGCCCTCCCTCTCCGAGCGCGGCGCGGGTCCGTTTCGCGCGGGTGCTCTCTGCTCAGGAGCTGGCGCAAATCCCTCCAAACCCAGGCGCGACCCACCGCTCGGGGCGGGCCACCCCCGAGGAGGAAGAGGTGCGCTGGCCGGGGCCTCTAGACCGCCGGGACGTGCTTGACGGTCTTGAGGCCTGGCGAAGGCCCCCTGGAGGCCGAAACTCGTCCCAGACCCACCGCTCCAATTTTTTCGGGGCGTCGGATCTCGGGGAACGCGGGGCAGCGAAGAGAGGTTCACCTCTCGTGCGCCGTCGGGGCCCCAGGGGGCCCCTTTACTTCAGGGCTTCTATCCCGGAGCCCTCGATCGATCCCCTCGCGCATCGCCCCCCCCCCCCCCCCCACCCCCCTGTCGAAACGCCCGACTTCGGGCCACTATACCCGGCCTCGGGCGGCCGTTCGAGGGGAATCGCCTCCCCCCCCTGAGATGAAGCCCAGACGAGGTCCGGGAGAGGATCAATCGAACATCTCTGATCTCCGGCGGGTCTGGAGGATGTCTCGGGCGCCGCGGCCTTCCGCATTCCGCAGCGCTCCGAAAGCCTTCCGGAACGCTCTCAACGGATTTATCCTGCCCGCACGACTACCCCCACCCACCGTGACGCTCGCGGCGAGGCGCACCTGTTGGAAGAGCACCCCGGGGCCGGCAGACCTCCAGGAGCAGAAGGGTCGGCCTGCAGGCCTCGAGTCAACGGGACCCGAAGGCCTCGCCAAGAGATGCCGGTCCTCAACGCGCGGGCTCCGGCGGTAGACCAGCCCCTTGGTGGGCGCGTTCAACCACCGGTTGTCCACTCGCCAGTGCTCGAGGGCGGGCGCCGTGGGGTTGGTCGGGGCCCAGCCTGGGAGGAGGGGGGAGGATGGGGGAGGAGGGGGATGAGGAGGAGGAGGAGGAAAAGGAGCAAGAGGAGGAGGAGGAGGAGGAGGAGGAGGAGGAGGAGGAGGAGGAGGATGAGGAAGAGGAGAAGGAGGAGGAGGAGGACCAGGAGGATTTTTTTTTTTTTTTTTTTTCTCTCTCTCTCTCTCTCTCTCTCTCTCTTCTCACTTCCTAATCAAGCCAAATCCGTCAGAAGGTAGTCTGGACATTAGCTCTGGGTGGGGGAGGAAACTTTATTCGCACCCTTTCTCTAGTCAGCTCCTGCGGCGAGCCAGCAAGGCTAATGCGCACTCCACGGCGCCAGCACGGGGGCGCGGCCAAAGCGTCAGTCTACCTCACGTCTTCATGTCGTGGTTCCGATCCTCGTCGAAGCCGAACAACTCAGCACACCACAACTCAATGCATTTCGAGTACGCGGCGCCCCGAGGAGCGGGCCAGTGCCGCTGACAAATATCTGCACTCAATAGAGGCGCCCCGAGGAGCGGGCCACTTCCTCAAGAAATATGGGCGCCCCGAGGAGCGGGCAACTGACTGTCCCTGACAATCAGCGCGCCGAGGCGCCCCGAAGAGCAGGCCACTGTCTCTTGCAAGAAAGAAAGGCGCCCCGATCAGCGGGCCACTGCCTGAAATATGAAATCGCGTCATCGTTCAGGAAGGGGTATGTCCATACGAAATCGCGATGCAAAAATACTGACATTCATTGATTTGTGCTAGAACTTCCTCCACGGCCATGCTGTCTCACTAGATTGCCGCGCGGTGCTCGGCCGCTGAGCATCTGTCCGCCCATGGACCGAAGCAGCTCTGCCAGTATCGTTTCCACTGGAGTGCGCACGCCTGCGATGCGCTTGTGCTCGGTCGGAATTTTCGTCGGCATCAGCTGGCACAGGTCGCTCTCCTTCGGGGTGATGGCCTTGAGCACGCTCTCGTGCTCCTGACTCCTATTCGGTAACACGAGTTCTCCCCGGCAGCCGAACATCGTGCGCACTTTGGGTTCTTTGCCTGGTTTGTTGAAGGTCGGCAGCATCGTCATCTCCTTGACCCGCTCGCGTGCGCTGTCGAGCCATCCCGCCTGCAGCATCGCTTGCAGTCGCCGTGCTCCTGCTATCATTGACAGGAGCCTTGTCGACAAATCCTTGTGCTCGTAGCTCAGCGTAGCGTCGAACACCCCTGAACAGGCAGTGGCACGACGGGGGGGCCGTGATCTGTCTCTGGGTCCTCCTTGCGCTTCTGGACGTAGCCCCGGAAGCAATCGCTCATCTGTGTGCCTGCAGAGCTGCTCTTGAGGATCAGCATCGTGACGCGCGTTTCGTTTTCCAATGTCCGAACGCGTCCTTCGAGCTGAATGCTGAGCGACTGCGTAATCTCGATCGTGTGGTCCACTCCGTTGTCCTCGTCCTCTTCCTCGGCCGTCGATCCCTGTCCTCGAGCCAGTTGCGTGGGGGGCCTGTGCCGTGTACAAATCCTCGGGGCCTGGTCGTCGGTTGCGCCAAGCACGCCACGGGAGGAGGAGGAGGAGGAGGCGGAGGAGGAGGAGGAGGAAGAGGAGGACCAATCTAAACCCAAGAGTCATTGACGATGTTGGGATACCCCCCCCCTGGAAGCTCCCTCTTCATAGGCCCCATACAACGGCTCATTTCCACTGGGGGAAGTGCCTCCGTGGAAGACAACCGCTTCAATTCAAGAACCTGAAGCGTGCCACTACATCACCCTCGATACTCCAGCGCCACGGATCAACAATACTGTTGCGCCGTGACGATCCTGAACCGTGCCAGAGCGCCATACATGGTACTTCAACACCGCGAATCGCACCCTCATAATCAAGGACCAATTCAAAACGCCAGTCCTGGTACGTTGACCTTTGGAGCCCGCGAAACTCTTGCCATTTGTAAAAAAGGACTGTACGCGGCGCTAGGACGAGAGCGGCATTTTGAGAAAGAGCCGCCCTCAATTCGTGAAGCTCTTGCAAATCTCTAACAACCAATGCGCTCGGCGCCGAGGCGAGAACCGCATTTTGAAAAGGGACCGCCCTCAATATGTGAAGCTGTTGCGAATTTGTAAAACGAATGTTCACGGCCCCAAAGCGAAAACCACAATTTGAAAACGACCCGCCCTCAATCCGTGAAGCTCATGTTTTTGTTCAAACGAGTGTGCGCGGCGCTCAGGCGAGAGCCACATTTTGAAAACGTTCCGCCCTCCATCTGTGAAGCTGCTGCCACTTCTAAGTTTCCAGGTCTTAAATGTGAGGAAGAGAAGCGCCCAGCCTGCCTTTTCGACTGGCCTCGGGGTGCGACAGGGGGAAGTTATATGATTTATGTTCAAGGACAAAGAATGGAGGATGATGAGGAGGAGGCGGAGGAGGAGGAGAAGTTGACCTGAGTCTGGCTGGACGGCAGGCATTGAAGGCTCTTGCGGCGGGACGAAACGCCAGTCTCATATCCTATCTCCTTAGTTGTACCGATACGCAACACGCAACACGTAGCGTATTGATACGGAGCTCAACACGTAGGCTGAAAACGTAGGTCCAACGCGATACATTCGCCAAAACGTGGTCCAATACGTGGAGCCAACACGCCACGTACTGATACGGACGTCCTGAACACGGGACGTGTTGCGTGTCAAAACGGGCGTCTCGAGGCAACTCAGCCTATCCCTCTCCCTCCTGACTGACTGACTGAAGGCATCGGAATCCCTAAGGACCCAGGACGCTGCCCTCCTCCTCCTCCTTCCTCCTTCCCCTTCTCCTCCTCATCCTCCTCCTTCTCCTCCTTCTCCTCCTTCTCCTCCTTCTCCTCCTCCTCCTCCTCCTCCTCCTCCTCTCCTGCTCCTCCTCCTCCTCCTCCCTCCTCCTCCTTGTCCTTCTCCTCCTCCTACTCCTCCTCCCTCCTCCACCGCCGCCGCCGCGGCGGGCGGGGTGGTGGTGGAATAAGGGAGAAGGCGCCCCAAGCAAGTACGCCGGCGGCAGCAGGGCCCTCGACAGGGACAGCATGCAGCGGCCACAAAAACTCCATGGCAAACGCCGACGATCAAACAGCTTGATTGAATGGGGCGCCTTTACGGCCTCCTCTTCCTCCTCCTCCTCCTCCTCCTCCTCCTCCTCCTCCTCCTCCCTCCCTCCCTCCCTCCCTCCCTCCCTCCCTCCCTCCCTCACCTCCCTCCCTCCCTCCCACGCCTCCCTCCCCCCCTCTCTGCTTTGAAAGGGAACGTTCGGGGGGGATTCGCCCGGGGGTGAAACATCGAGCCCGAATCGGCGATACATCGCCAATAGATCGGCAATAGGCCCCCAGTAGCGAACAATCCAGACCTCCCTGGGCGGGAGGGGGTTATCGGGCCCCCATCGGCGATCCATGGGCAATTGGGGGTAGACGTGTCCCCGCCTGAGCCTTTTCCCCCCTTCACGTTGCCCCTCCCTCCCTCCATTCCCTCCCATCGAGGGCCCGGGCACGCGGTGTTGGGTGCTGCTAGAAGCGCCCCTGGCCCAGGGTGCACCCAGGACTTCCAGGGAGGCCCCCACGGCCTCCAGAGCACCCCGCACGCGGCCCCTGGAGGGCCCCAGGGGCTCCGAAGTGGAGCGACGAGCGGGCGGCACCGTGTGCCAGGGGCACCTTTAGCACCCCCCGACCTGGCCATCGCTCGGACGTCCATTCCCTGTGCTTTTTTCGGTTTCGTGCGTGGTTTTTTCGCCAAATGATCAAGGATGCTCCCCGATGGTCCTCACCGAAGAAAAAATTCACACGTCCGAGCGATGCCAAGCGACTGTGTGTGGGGCGCGCGAGGGCCTGGCGGCGGCCGGAACTGGCGCCCGGGCTGCGGGGGCACCATGCGGGGCGCGTGCGTGGCCGCGCCGTCCTGGGCGCTTCGCGGCCCGCGGCCGCGCCGGCTCGCCGCCGCCGCCGAGGCCCGTCGGAGGCCCTCGGGCCGTCGGTTTCTGGAGGCCAGGCTGCTGCGGCGGCGCAGTCGTAGTCGGTCGGCTTCTTCTTCTTCTTCTTCTTCTTCGTCGTGGTCGTGGTCGAGGTCGTGGTAGTGGTCTTGGTCGTGGTCGTGGTCGTGATCGTGGCCGCGGTCGGTCCTCGTCTTCGTCGTCGTCATAATTGTCGTGGTCGTCGTGGTCGTGGTCGTGGTCGTCGTCGTGGTCGTCCCCCTGTCCTCTTCCTCCTCGTCCTCGCCGTCCGAGTTCTCATCGTCGTCGTCCTCCTCCGGCTTCTCCTCCCCCTCCGCCTGCTTCTGATGCCAATGTCTTTCCGCCCTCCCTCCCTCCCTGCCGACTCCACCTTTTCCTTCCTCCCTCCTCCTCCATCCCCTGCCCTGCTCCTCTTGCAGCTCTTTCTGCTGAGCCTCTTGCTCCCATTGTCCATCTTCGCTCCCAAACACTTGTGATCACCCTACTGATCGTAGTCCTGTTCGTCCTTCTCTTCCTCCTCCTCCTCTTCCTCCTCCTCCTCCTCCTCCTCCACCTACTCCTCCTCCCACTCCCACCTCATGCGTCCTCCTCCTCCTCCTCCTCCTCCACCTCCTCCTCCTCCTCTTCGTCTTCCTCATCGTCATCCTCGTACTCTTACTCTGCTGCTGCTGCTGCTGCTGCTTCTTCTACTGCTGCTGCTGCTCCTAGTCTCCCACCTTTTCTTCTTCTTCTTCTTCTTATTCCCCTTTCTCGTCGTCATCTTCCTCCTCCTCCTCCTCCTCCTCCACCACCTCCTCCTTCTCTCCAGTCCCTCGGCAGAACGCACTTCTCCCCTCCCTCCCTGCCTACCTCCCTCCTTCTCCCCCTCCCTCCGCGAGATCCCCTCCTCGTGGTTCGTCTTCCTCCTGCTCCTTCTCCCCCTCTTCTTCCTCGTCTTCTGGCTGAGGAGTTTCTTGGGCTTGTATTCCTCTTCCTCCTCCTCATCTTAGTATTCGACTTACTCCTCATCTTCCCCCCTCCTCCCTCCTCCTCCTCCTCCTCCTCCTCCTCCTCCTCCTTCCTCGTCCTCGTTCTCCTCGGCGCCCTCTTCCTGCTCTTACTCCTCATCCCCCTCCTCTCAAACCCCGCACGTGCACGCGGGAAGGAGGAGGAGGAGGAGAAGGAGGAGGAGGATGAGGAGGAGGAGGAGAAGGAGGAGGAGGAGGAGGAGGAGGGGGAGGAGGTTTAGCCAGGGAGGCGCGACCAAGGATCAATGAGCGCCATGGGGCCTTAAACCTGCTTCGGCCCCGCGTCCGAAGAAACAAACACGTTTGCCAATAGGACGGAGGGAACATAGGGTTTGCGGGAGAGAGGGAGGATGGAGAGAACCGGCGGCGCGCCTAGGGGTGGAGGCAGCGGGGACGGGCCTTTTCCCAGAAGGCTCAGGAGGCTTCCAGCCTTCCGAACAGTTCTTTAATCTTTCTCCGACGACACAGAGGGCCTCTCAGAAGGCAGGAAGGCTTAAGAGAAGCCCCGCTGCCTTCTGTGGAGGCCCGCCCCCTCTGCCTTCCCCCCTGGGCGCGCCGCCAAGAGGAGGGATGGACAAGCTAGGTGCGCTCGTGCCAAGTTCGACAGATTACCCCTCCAATCCATACCCTCCCATTGCGCACATGTCGTATCTATTTGCCGACTGGGGTGTCCTAGGGGAACTTGACTCCTCAAATCCCCCCATCGTACGATGCGCAATCGTGAGCGGCGGCCCTGTACATTGGAGAAGGAAGATGCGGAGCAGGAGAAGGTGGCGGATGAGCAGGAGGAAGAGGATGATGACGACGAGGGATGAGCAGTAGCAGTAGCAGTGGCAATAGCAGAAGAGGTAGCAGCAGCTGGAGCAGGACGAGCCGGACAGAACAAGCTGATAAATGAGTATGGTGAGAAGAATGGAGCCACCAAACGGGGAAACATGCTGCACCATAGGCACAGAAGGCGGACACATGGCCACAACGGGCGTGACATATAGGAGGCAAGGATAACGGACGCCGAGACAGGAATGCGATTCGGAGCACCAAAAACGGAACCCAGCATGAACGCTACCAACGCCGAGACAAGATAACGGCGCGCACGCGGTCAGACTAAGCGACATCTGCGCGCATCTTCTCGGCGTCGTGCCCCCCATTACAGTAACACAGTAACACGAACAGACAAGAACAACATCGGCGACAAGACACACGCAAATTCAGGAATGCGACTAGCGGCAAGGCGATAACGACCGGCGGCTGGACGTAACCGACACACGCACATATACACACTGACGCACATCAACGTGTTGCCTATGCAGAAAGAAAAGGTGACAATCCAGAACCACTCTTGGGTGGCGCAAGCCACATGCGGATGCAGAAATACGGCCAACGCCGCGGCGAGAGCGTTGTTCCGTTGGACGGGCGCCCGATGGAAATCATCCAAAGTGGCACACGCTACAGCGGGAACACCACGTTGGCTGATACAAGACTGCGGCGCTACGGCGAGCAATGCGGCGAGAGCGCCGTTCCGTTGGACAACGGCCCCGTGGATATCACTACATGCGGCACAAGCTGCAGTGGGACCACTGCTGCCGATGATGCAGGAGTGCGGCCACCGCTGCGACGACAGCGTCGTTCCCTCTGGCGGGAAACCGACGCACATCGATACGACACAACAACGCCTACAAAGGGGGACGCCACTTTCGATGAGGCGCTACGGCGAGATCGTCGTCCCGTACGCGTTGCGGACAAGGCTGCGGCGAAGGCGCCGATGCGTCGGACGGAGGCCTTCTCTGGACATCATCCAGTGCGGTGAACGCTGACGCGGAACACCACTCGTGAAGAACCGATCACGCTCTGACTGGGATGTGAACCAACATGAATGCAACTCGGGGAGCTTCCGTGTGAAAGCAACTACGATGCAAGATCGGTGGGCGCGCACAAAGACAGTAGCAGGATATATCTATACATAATGAGAGAGAGAGAGAGAGAGAGAGAAAGAGAGAGAGAGAGAGAACGAGGAGAGGCGCGCGTGCCTATGTTACATGACTGTGGGAGGAGGGGGGATAGAGATGAGGGGGGCGGATGGGGAGGAGGAGGAGGAGGAGGCTGATAATGAGGAGGAGGAGGAGGAGGAGGAGGAGGAGGAGGAGGAGGAGGAGGAGGAGGAGGAGGAGGAGGAGGATGGATGAGGAGGACGAGGAGGGACACGGCGGGCGGATGAGGAGGGACGACGAAGGAAGCAATGGCAACGACCACGAAGACGACGCGGGAGTGCGAGCCTCGCTAAAGCCCCAGGGCGCGCTCTTGGGCCTGGCGGCGGTCAGTGGGGTGGGGTGGGGGGAAGAGCAGACGGCAGTGGCTGGCGGACACCAGGCCAGATCGCAACCGAAACTGCTGCCGTTCCTCTTGCCCCTGCTGCCTACTGCGGCTCCTCCTCCTCCTCCTCCTCCTCCTCCTCCTCCTCCTCCTCCTCCTCATCATCATCAATCATCATCATCATCATCATCATCATCATCATCATCATCATCATCATCATCATTCTCATCCTGCTTATACTCCCTCCTCATACCCGCTTGTCGTCCTCCTCCTCCTCCTCCTCCTCCTCCTCCTCCTCCTCCTCTTGCTATTACTAATATTTCCTCCCTCTCTTCGTTCCCTTCCCTCCGTTCTCCTCCTCTCCTCATCGTCCTCATCCTCCTTATCCTCACCCGTCCTTCGTCCTGCTGCTGCTACTAGAACTGCTTCTCCTGCAGCCTGATGCCGCTGATGCTGATGCTCCTCTCATTCCGCTTGTCGTCCTCTCCCGTCTCCTCCATCCCCCTTCTCCTCCTCCTCCTCCTCCGCCTCCTCCTCCCCCTTTTCATCCATCCCCCTCCCCTCCTCCTCCTCCTCCTCCTCTTCCTCCTCCTCCTACTCCTCCGTTTCCTCCCTCACTCATTCATCCTCCTCCGTCTCCTGCTCCCTACTCCTCCTCCCGAACCTCCTTCTTCTCCACTGCCTCCCTTCTTCTCCACTGCCTCCTTCTTCTCCACTGCCTCCCTTAACTCCCTTAACTCCCCAGGGTGCCTGCGTCGCAAAACCCGCGTGCACTACAACACCTGTGTACACCACATGACACGCGCACACCACAACAATCGTGTGCGTCACAGAACCGTTGCCGCATGTACCGCTGCAGCCGTGCGCGTGCACCGCAGCGCCTGTGTAGCCCGCAGGCAACGCCCGCGTGCATCAGAGCGCCGCGTGCACAGCAATCACAACGGCGGCGTGCATTCGAGCCGCGTCCATTAGAGCGCACGCGTACGCCATGCCACCGCCGGGGGCTCGAACGTATCAAAATCAAACTGTCAGTTGTTCGTGAATACTACGCCGTTGCAGAAGCTCGTCATGTTATGGGGGCGTCAAGATGGTGCAAATTTCGTTAGTTACTTCCGCGCGAGCGGGCGGGCGAAGGCTTCCCCCCTTCCCCACTTAGAACCCTAGCGGGCTGGGTCAAGAGCGGTCGGATGTACGATCTGGGACTTCTAAGTCAGGGACTTCCTCCAGTTGTACAGTATAACTGTATATATACATACATATTTACAAACAAATATAGTGATATTCAATTCGGATCCCGACAAAAAAAACACGGTTTTAGAACTCCCACCGGGCGGGATCTTGCCCTGCCATCGCAAGATGATGGAATCCCAATTCTTGACGAAACTTTTGTAACGCTGATGCACTGACTTTTGTGGCCTGGGGCCCAGTCCCACGGTTTTTGGCCGACACTGCATGTGTACACCGCGCTGCCTCTGTGCACATCCCTGCCTGCGAACACCATAATGTTTGGGACCGCTGCCGCAGCAAGCACCACAGCGCCCGTGAACACCACGCAGCCCAGGGGCGAGCGGAATGGCGCCAGCATGAGAAATCTACGCAGGAGAGCAGGAGCTTCAGCAGGAGGCCAAGAGGCTTAAGCCAAGCCGCACGACGACGATCGACGACGTCCTGGGGCCTCTGGAGGCCTCAGGACGTCGTCGCTCGTCGTCGTCGTCGCCGCCATCGCTGTCGGCGTCGACGGGCCTGTGAGGAGAGAAATATTGGGGAGGGAAGAACATCATCTTCTGTTGTCACCAAGGCAGGGGTGCATGCGCGCACCACAGCGCCTGCGTACACCATAATTGCCGCGTGCAACACAGCGCTGGTGTACACCGCAGTGCCTGCGTGCACAACAGCGCCGGTGTACGCCGCCGATGTGTACACTGCGACAGCCGCGCGCGCGGGGGGGCGGGGTTTGCGCCACCGCCCGCCGTACGATCGTTACCGTTACGGGGGGGGGCGGGACCCCCGCGTGACAAGCGTTACGGGGGGAGGGGGCGATAACACATGCTGAATCACGACGGGCGGTTTGTGGCCGTTTTCGACCTTTGGGGTCCTCGCCGGGCCCCAGGACATGAAAAGAAACGACTCGAGATGAAACACCAGGCCTTGGGAACGGGTCGAGACTTTCCAAACCCCGTGCTGAACACATCGAGAGAGACACCGGATGTCTGGGGCGCGTCGGGGAATGCGCGGTTGGGACCTGCCTCCTGCCGGAGATGCTGCTCCCCCCACCCCCTTCGCACTCGAGCCGCTCCCCCCTCCCACCGCAGTTACGGTCCAAACTGCTTGTGAGGATGCGCGGTGAGGATGCAAGCCCTTGGGCGCGCATGTCGAAACTTTTTGAGAGGGGCTGGCCATCGAAAACGGTTTAAGGATGGACCAGAAAGGCAGGGCTGTAGGGGTACCCTTGGGAAGGTTACCCATCCTTGTCATCGGTTTCGACTGCATCCGGTACAACTGCTGCTCCCCTCCCTCCCCTCACTGTCCCGAGGATACACGTCGTTGATTTCTAATCGTGCTCATTCCTAATTGCGCTCGTTTCTAATTGTTCTTGGCCCCCTAGTGGCCAGGAAGGGGCCCAGGATAGAACACTTAGAAACGAAAGGACCTTGGCCCCGAGAAAATCAAATAACTATCGAATATTTAGACATGAACCATGTGCAGTCACATTCGCACGCATAATATCAGCATGTGTTTTGTTTCGTGTGCGTTTCCCCCGATTTCGGAACGTTTTGCATGTCTTTGTAGTGTTTTCGTTTTGTGTGTTGCTCTGAGTGTGTGTGTGTGTGCTTGTAACACGCCTTGTTGTGCGTAACGCTGTGCTGCGAAACTGGTATTTCAGCCGCAGCGTTGACCTCGTCGTCTTTCAGAATGTCGATCTCGCCCCGGCGCAGGCCATATTTCTGGATCCGATTATTTCCCTGTCGTTGCCGCCGCCCCCCCTTTCCCCTCCCTTGCCTTCCCTAAGTCTTCCTACTCCTCCCGCTTTTACTCTTGCGGCTGTCGCTCTTTCTCCTCCTCCTCCCCCTCCTTCCTCATCCCTTTTCTCCTGCTCATCCACTTGCTCATCCGTCACCTCCTCCTCCTCCGCCAATCTACACAGCTCCCCTGTCTGACTGAACACGGCACGAAGAGAGATCCAGGTCCGCCAGGACACCCGTCGGCGGATAGAGAACAAAGTCAGCACAATGGAACGGGATGGATAAGAGGGGTAGGATGTCATATATGGCGCGAGCGCTCTTAGCCTCCTCCCTCTTCCTTTTCCTCCTCCTCCTCCCCCTTTTTCCCTCGTCCCTCCTGTCCTCCTCCCTCCGCCCTTCTCATCCTCCTTCGTCCTTCCTGGAGCGCCGTAGAACGCTCTGCGCAGGACATTCCAAACCCCCTCCTCCTCCTACTCCCTTCTTCCTTCTCGCTCCTTCCCTGTCTCCCTCCTTCTGGACGACGGCGACGCCGACGCAGGCGCCGATGCCGACGCCGCCGACGCAAACGCGGACGCCGACATATGCACGTTGGCGACATCTGCGGAGGCCAAGACAACGACGACGACGACGGCGGCGACGGCGACGGCAACGGCGACGGCGACGGCGACGACGACGGGGACGGCGACGGCGACGGCTACGACGACGACCGACGACGCCATCGAACGACATCGACGCCGACCGACGCACGACCGCGGGCCAGGAGTGCCCCCCCCCCCCGCGGGGCTGCGGGCGAGCGTTCGGGGGGGGGGGGAACCAGCTCAGAGGGGGTGGAGGAGGAGGAGGAGGAGGAGGAGGAGGAGAAGGGAGGAGGAGGAGGAGGAGGAGGAGGAGGAGGAGGAGGAACAGGAGGAGGAGGAGGAGGAGGAGGAGGAGGAGGAGGAGGAGGAGGAGGAGGAACAGGAACAGGAACAGGAGGAGGAGGAGGCGGAGGAGGAGGAGGAGGAGGAGGAGGAAAAGGAGGAAATATAAACACAAACTTTTGGAGGTCCGCGCGGATTTCTCGGCTCGGCGCTGGATCCTCCCTCCCCGGCGCGCGGTGCACACCTTCCGGCGGCACGGAAGGCGCCGCCAGAAGTTCGCGCGGACCTCCGGCAGCTTCCACAGGAAACCTGACCCCTGAGACCCAAGGGCGTCCATGGATTGTTCGGCGTGAGAGCGCCACGCTTTCCGTGGCAAAGCCACCGAGACCCAAGAAACCCAGGGCACCCTGGAGGCGCGAGAAGGGTGTTTCTTGGCATTGGTTTCCCACTGCACATCGCGGACAGATCGGCGATTGGCCCACGACAGCGAATCCAGGCGCTCCTGGGGCGGGGCGGACCGTCGGGCCCCTGTCGGCGATGCATGGGCAACAGGGGGTCGCTGCGTCGCCCCCTAATCCCACAGTAGGATCTCGACCGCACGAAACCTTCCACAAGGAACCCAGCCCTGAGATCCCAGGGCGTCCCTTGATGTTCGGCGTGAGAGCGCCACGCTTTCCATGGCAAAGCCACCGAGACCCAAGAAACCCAGGGCACCCTGGAGGCGCGAGAAGGGTGTTTCTTGGCATTGGTTTCCCACTGCACATCGCGGACAGATCGGCGATTGGCCCACGACAGCGAATCCAGGCGCTCCTGGGGCGGGGCGGACCGTCGGGCCCCTGTCGGCGATGCATGGGCAACAGGGGGTCGCTGCGTCACCCCCTAATCCCACAGTAGGATCTCGACCGCACGAAACCTTCCACAAGGAACCCAGCCCTGAGATCCCAGGGCGTCCCTTGATGTTCGGCGTGAGAGCGCCACGCTTTCCATGGCAAAGCCACCGAGACCCAAGAAACCCAGGGCACCCTGGAGGCGCGAGAAGGGTGTTTCTTGGCATTGGTTTCCCACTGCACATCGCGGACAGATCGGCGATTGGCCCACGACAGCGAATCCAGGCGCTCCTGGGGCGGGGCGGACCGTCGGGCCCCTGTCGGCGATGCATGGGCAACAGGGGGTCGCTGCGTCGCCCCCTAATCCCACAGTAGGATCTCGACCGCACGAAACCTTCCACAAGGAACCCAGCCCTGAGATCCCAGGGCGTCCCTTGATGTTCGGCGTGAGAGCGCCACGCTTTCCATGGCAAAGCCACCGAGACCCAAGAAACCCAGGGCACCCTGGAGGCGCGAGAAGGGTGTTTCTTGGCATTGGTTTCCCACTGCACATCGCGGACAGATCGGCGATTGGCCCACGACAGCGAATCCAGGCGCTCCTGGGCGCGGGCGGACCGTCGGGCCCCTGTCGGCGATGCATGGGCAACAGGGGGTCGCTGCGTCGCCCCTAATCCCACAGTAGGATCTCGACCGCACGAAACCTTCCACAAGGAACCCAGCCCTGAGATCCCAGGGCGTCCCCTTGATGTTCGGCGTGAGAGCGCCACGCTTTCCATGGCAAAGCACCGAGACCCAAGAAACCCAGGGCACCCTGGAGGCCGAGAAGGGTGTTTCTTGGCATTGGTTTCCCACTGCACATCGGGACAGATCGGCGATTCCAGGCGCTCCTGGGGCGGGGCGGACCGTCGGGCCCCTGTCGGCGATGCCATGGGCAAACAGGGGGTCGCTGCGTCGCCCCCTAATCCACAGTAGGATCTCGACCGCACGAACCACGAAACTTCCACAAGGAACCCAGCCCTGAGATCCCAGGGCGTCCCTTGATGTTCGGCGTGAGAGCGCCACGCTTTCCATGGCAAAGCCACCGAGACCCAAGAAACCCAGGGCACCCTGGAGGCGCGAGAAGGGTGTTTCTTGGCATTCGTTTCCCACTGCACATCGCGGACAGATCGGCGATTGGCCCACGACAGCGAATCCAGGCGCTCCTGGGGCGGGGCGGACCGTCGGGCCCCTGTCGGCGATGCATGGGCAACAGGGGGTCGCTGCGTCGCCCCCTAATCCCACAGTAGGATCTCGACCGCACGAAACCTTCCACAAGGAACCCAGCCCTGAGTCCCAGGGCGTCCCTTGATGTTCGGCGTGAGAGCGCCACGCTTTCCATGGCAAGCCCCGAGACCCAAGAACCCAGGGCACCCGAGGCGCCCTTGGCATTCGTTTCCCACTGCACATCGCGGGATCGGCGATTGGCCAACGACAGCGAATCCAGGCGCTCCTGGGGCGGGGCGGACCGTCGGGCCCCTGTCGGCGATGCATGGGCAAACCTAATCCCACGTAGGATCTCGACCGCACGAAACCTTCCACAAGGACCAGCCCTGAGATCCCAGGGCGTCCCTTGATGTTCGGCGTGAGAGCGCCACGCTTTCCATGGCAAAGCCACCGAGACCCAAGAAACCCAGGGCACCCTGGAGGCGCGAGAAGGGTGTTTCTTGGCATGGTTTCCCACTGCACATCGCGGACAGATCGGCGATTGGCCCACGACAGCGAATCCAGGCGCTCCTGGGGCGGGGCGGACCGTCGGGCCCCTGTCGGCGATGCATGGGCAACAGGGGGTCGCTGCGTCGCCCCCTAATCCCACAGTAGGATCTCGACCGCACGAAACCTTCCACAAGGAACCCAGCCCTGAGATCCCAGGGCGTCCCTTGATGTTCGGCGTGAGAGCGCCACGCTTTCCATGGCAAAGCCACCGAGACCCAAGAAACCCAGGGCACCCTGGAGGCGCGCAGGGTGTTTCTTGGCATTGGTTTCCCACTGTACATCGCTGACAGATCGGCGATTGGCCAACGACAGCGAATCCGGGCGCTCCTGGGGCGGGGCGGGCAGTGGGCCCCCTGTCGGCGATGCATGGGCAACAGGGGGTCGCTGCGTCGCCCCCTGATCCTATCCCCTCCCCTAACTTTAGGTCGGGCTTGTCCTCCTGCAGGCGGATGTTGGAGAAAAGCTATTCACTAGTCAAACAATATTTCAAACTAGTCAAAAGACCCAAACTATTTCTGGACCATTCTCGAATCTTCCGCCTGTAGAGGGACACGCCCGACTTAAAGCTGGCATCGGCGAGACATCGCTGACAGATCGGCGATTGGCCCACGACAGCGAATCCAGGCGCTCCTGGGGCGGGGCGGGCAGTGGGCCCCCCTGATCCGATTGGCATAAACAAGAAGAACTCTCGTCGTCGTCCTCCTCCTCCTCCTCCTCCTCTGCCTGCCTCAGCAGTCCGGAGGAACAAATCAACTGCATAAACATACATTTTCGGAGGTCCGCACGCACATATTTCTCGGCTCGGCGCTGCATCCCCCTATCCTGGTGCGCGGAGCGCGCCCGGGGCAGCGCTGGAGGCTCCGCCAGAAATACGCGCGGACCTCCGGAAGTTTATGCTCGTGCCGCTTCCTTGTCCTTCGATTAACGCTAGGTCGGGCATGTGGTCCCCCAGGCATGCAGAAAAGTGGAACACAGAGCCAAAACTAGTCAAACATTGTCCAGCGCAGCACAGAAGAATCGCCGTCCCCATATAATGTTTTGACTCTTCTTGCATATCCCTCCTGTAGAGGGACATGCTCGACTTAAGACTACACGTCGTTCATTTCTAATCGTGCTCGTTTCTAATTGTGCTCGTTTCTAATTGTTCCTTGCCCCACAGTGGCCAGGAAGAGGCCCAGGATAGAGCAATTAGAAATGAAAGGATCTTGCCCCCCCAAAAGATCAAAGAACTTTCGAATCATTTGAAATGCAAATACCCGGTTTAAGACTAACGCTGCCCCTGAGCGCGCCCCCCCCGCGGGCGAAGGCGGCGGCGCGCCGTGCGGTGGGGAGGCGCACGGTTTGCGCCGGCGCCGCGCCGATCGCCCCGGCGCCAGGCCTCGCTGCGAGCAGGTGCCCCGGGGGGGGCAAGCGGCGGCGAGCGGGCGGCGGAGGCGAGCGGCGGCGAGCGGGTGGCGGCGGCGAGGAGGAGCTGGCGGCAAGGGGGGGGGGAGGGGAGGGAGGGAGGGGGGAGAGGGAGGGAGGGGGGGGCCAGAGGGAGGGGAGGAGGAGGGAGGTCGCGGGGGGAGGGAGGGGGGGGATTGGTGAGAGGAGGGGGGGTTGGGAGGAGGCGAGATGAGGATGAGGATGAGGATGAGGATGATGATGCTGATGATGACGATGATGATGCTGATGGATGGATGATGATGGTGATGACGATGATGGTGACCTGTGGTGGTGATGATGGCGATAATGGTGATGGTGCTGCTGATGATGTTGAGGAATATGGTTTAATTCCAACCGCCGAATGTTATGTTACGTTACCAGTGGGGCGGCAACCTCAGAAGCACAACTCCAGATCGTTTGACAGGAGGTTTCAACGAACGACATTGCGAACGTTAAAAAGCGAGGGCCAGCCCCTCAATTGGCACGGAAGTTGCGTTTCCGACTCGACGGACCTCCCACCCGCCCCCCACACTGTCCTGCGCCCGCCTCGCAGCGGCGAGCAAGGAAGCGGCGGCGGACTCGATCCTGTCATCCTCGGCCTCCGGATGCGCTGACGCCTGCGAGCGGAAAGAGCGAGGCTGCAGGGGCTCGGTGCTGAGATCGGTCGGGCACTCGTGGGACACCTGCGAGCGTTTAGGGTGCTCGCATCTGCATGCCTCCGACCACGCCCCCTCACCGAACCGAGGGAGACGAGGCTGGCAGCGAGCGCGAAGGGCGGCAACTCACCCGTGCGAGCTGTACGACCTGCAGGCTGAACAAATCACAAGCTTGGCCCCGCCACCGCGAGGCACTGCGATGCAACCGTGGCCAGGGTCCTGGGACCCCAGGGACGCAGCGCCTCGGGGGGCCAGAACGCGCGGGTGGAGGGGGCTCCCTCGGCCAGCCCAGACGGCTGACATGCCAGCAGGCTGAGCCTTGCCCACAGGCGCCCAAGAATGCGGCGAGGTGTGCTTGGGACCCCTGGGGGCCCGAGGGGGCCGAACGTAATCGACGGCTCTCGGAGCGGCTTCCAAAGAGGTAGCAGACGCACGCTGCGAAGACAGGGAGCACGAGCGTACCTTAACACCTCCGCGACCTCTTCCGACAAGGCCTCATGGGGCCGCGGATAGAGGGACGGAGCGTGTGCTGTGGCGTGGTCCACAGCGTCATTACCTTCACTGTTAACTCGAATGCCAGTAGCCCCCTGCCCCTGATAATAATCCCCGTGGGATAAGAAAGTTCGGGGTCTGGCGGGGATAAGCAACGATTTTCCCGGCGGGTGATGATGAAGAAGATGATGATGAGGATGATGATGTTGATGATGATGATGATGATGATGATGACGATGTCGATGACGATGATGATGATGATGATGATGATGATGATGATGATGATGACGATGACAATGATGATGACAATGATGATGATGATGATGATGATGATGATGATGATGATGATGATGATGATGATGATGATGATGCTGATGCTGATGCTGATGCTGATGCTGATGCTGATGCTGATGATGATGATGATGATGATGATGATGCTGATGATCCTGGGCGCTCGCGTAGACTGACCTCGTAGATCGTGGCACAACACTGACTCGACAGATCTCCAGTCACGTATGGATGGGCCCTGGCGTGGGCCGCCTGCTTAGTGAAACCGCACGGGCGTGAGATCTGGCGTGCCACACGTGGCCCGCGTAGCTGCTCTTCCTTCCGCACAGGCAATGAGAGGCGACAGCGCGTGCGAACCCACGTGTGCGACAGGCCACAGGAGGAGGGGCGAGGAGGGGGGGCGAGGAGGGGCGAGGAGGAGCGAGGAGGAGGAGGAGGAGGAGGAGGAATAATAAGAGGAGGAGGAGGAGAAATAGGATGATGATGATGAGGAGGAGGAGCAGCAGCAGCAGCACAGCAGCAGCTGGGATTGCGAACCCACAACGTCCTTGCAATCAGACGTTCTAGTGCTAGGCGCTGCTGTCAAGTGTGCAGCAGCCAGGTACCCACGGAACCCGGTACTCCCTTAATGCGGGATGACGTTTAATAAACAAAACGGGGGGGATCGATAAACAAATAGTTTCCTGCTATTTCTGCACAAGTTTCTGACTGGAAGCGAACGGTTTAAAAAATAGTTTTCCAGCCCGCGGCCGGTTTTTTCAAATCGTCATCCCTGGCGCCGCCGCGTGAACACGACCCCCTGTCATTTATGAATCGTCATCCTCCATTCGTAATTTGCAGCAGGTGGACCCACACTGGGCCAACGACCCTGCAGGCCAGAATCCCATGGGTGTGCAGAACAACGCGCCAGACAACGCGGCTCATTTCGCTAACCTGGGACCTGGTGCGCGAACAAATCTACGAACATTTGGCCTTCAAGCCGCTCGGGGTTGGGGGGGTCTACGTACCAACGGAAATCACACGTCCGGTCATGGGTATGCGCAGGCGGGGGGATGCGATCACCCGGGAGGGGGAGGGCCCAATGAGTGAGGATGAACAGCTTCCCAACTCCACGAGATCCAAACTCAACCGCACCATCGACCAAGGCCTCGGGAACAAGCTCGCGCCTAACATCGTCGTGAGCGGGGCACATCCAAAGGCGATGAAAGAGCGATCCTCCAGCGCCCCCCAAAAAGAAAGCTTACATTGTTCTGGGCACTGGTGCCCCTTGCTCCTGGCCCGCATGCGCGTCCATAGAGCTTTCCCAGCAGCAGCTCTAAGATAACCCTTGTCCAGCGGGCTGAGCTTACTCGACGCGAGCGCTGCCGGGACAACATCGCGCGACAATCAATTCTTGAAACTATGCTTGGTGCCGATGTCCCTATCAAGGCTCCTAGGGGCGGTTCCCTTGAGATGGGTCCTGGGGGGGGCAGGGGGCGCGAGGAAAAACTCATGCCTGTTACGCAGGTCGTCCTGAAGGGAACAAAGGGAGGCCGAGTCTCACCCAAGACGAGAGAGGGGCACCAGCATCGCGGAAATGAGACCAGCCACTCCACGCCACGCGTGTTTTCCTCGGGCCCTGGCGACGGCGCCTCGAGCCCGGGGGGGGGGGGGGGGAAGGCGGCCTCCTGGAGTCTATCGGTGGCAGCCCTAACCTCACGGCGCCAGCGGCTAACGCACGTGACCTGGGAGAGCCGAGCGGGGTCCTTTTCCAGGAGCAGCAGGACCCGCGACCACCCCTCGCCTGCCCTGCGGCTTCAGCACCCTGGCGAAAGAGCGCCGCAGGCTGAGCAACTCCTGAGGACAGACCCTATCGCATTCACAACCGTCGGTAATAGAAGAATGAAAAACCACATGATCATCAACTTTTGGCGCTCCGCGCGGGTTTCTTGGATCTGGGCTGGGCCCCCGTCCCTGGCGCGTGGGGCGCGCCAGGGGCGGCGCCGGATGCGCCGCCGGGGGGCCTAGGCGCGGATCCAAGAAATCCGCCAGTCATTTCATGTTTATGTTTTTTTCTTCTTCGAGCTAATGCCAGGGAGCGGTCCCGCGGTCCACGCGCGTCGAGCGCGCCAGCCAACCGTCGGGGCCAATGTCGAAGCGCGTCGGGCTCCAGTGCGGCCAGCTCGGCGACGGGACTTGGCCTTTGCGTCTCGACCCCTGGGCCGAAGAGGCCTTCCCGCGGCGTCGTGGATGCCGAGGTCGGGGGGCGAGTGCGCCAGAGGCCCCGGGAGATCGCGGCCCAGGATAGCAAGGGATAGTCCCAAGGGCACGGATGCTTCAAATAGACCTGGAAACGCGCCCAAAACAGAACGGTTTTGGATTTTCCCAAATGAAACAAAAACTCAACCACTCCCGGAAAAGGGGTCGGACAAATTACATACGCCACCCCCTTTTCCAAAACACGTGTAGAAATTTAACAAAGATCGTCGGTTTCGTCGGTTTGGCCGGAGACATCCTGCGAACAATGACCCACGGCACCCTCGCCCTGGCGGCGCATCTTTTGTAGCCATACCCCCAATACTATAGCTCCTGACAGGAGCTCCTGCCTTCTCAGCCGCGAGCGTGGCTACAATGATGCCAGTGGCCTCCTCCAGATGCTGCGCGCCCAGAACGACGCCTACGACCGCCTGCTCGGCTTTGCCGACGGCCGAGGTGGACGAGTTATCGATGGTGGTGGCCAGAGAGCAGCCGGCGATGGCATCAGACAGCTTCAGAAAGCAGCCCGTGGCGTCTACATGAGTTCGCGGCCCTCGGGTAGCTTGGGAACCTGCCTCGCAGGCGGACCCCTGCCACAAGCAGCGGCAGCCAGGTACGCCGCGTCCGTCACGGAAGTGATCGGCGCTGGGTTGCGGTCGGCGTAGCAGGCGCTGTGGCTCCAGCGCTGGAAGCGGTTGTCGAAGCAGGTCCAGCCCTTCATAGGAGCACGACCTCCGTGCCAGATGTAGCGCCTCCTGGTGCCGAGGGTGAACTCCAGCTTGATGGCCGAGTGGTCGGATTGCGCGCTGTGGGTGATCTCCTCGAGCGTGGTGCTGACCTTCCAGATGTCGCGAGCAGGTACCAGGACATCGTCGATCTGGGCTGGCGGGTGCTTGAAATCGCAGTGGCAGGTGGGTCCGCTGGCCGCCTCGGTGAACGTGTTCGTCGCCGCCAGGCCGCGCTGCATGAGAAGTCTCGTTGGCATTTCGGCGCGACGCGTGCGCTGGCCGACTGGGGAGCCCCCAATCCAGCGCTCATCGTCCGCCTGCGGCGGGGGCAAAGCCGTCTGCGCGTCCACGCCCGCGATCGGGTACGCCCCAGGCGGTGCCGTCATGATCAGGTCAGAGAGCTCCTCCATAGAGTCCTCGTACTGAGTGAGGGAGTGCCGTGGAAAATGCGACTGCGTACTATCCAATAGTCCTTCTTGCGGATGCGAAATAGGTGCGCCGCCGAGCGCCCCCACGGCAGCGAATCTCCTCGTAGAAACAGTCGTGCCCGAGAGCGCACCAGCAGCCCCATCTGCTTTTGCCCCTCGACCCGCGGTGTGACCAGGTAGAGGTCGCCCTCGCCGACCTCCAGCCTCGTGGTCTTGCCCCAGTAGCCGACCTCCTGGAGGATGGCCGCGTCGTAGTCGTGCTGCTCGCGCAGAGTCGCTGCAAAGCGCTCCGCGTCCCTGAGCGTTCCAGCTGATGAGCTTGATGCACATCTGCTCCTCGAGCTCCTCCATGGTCCGCTCCTTGTCCTGTCATTTGCCCGCATTGACCTTGGCCTGGAATTCGACCAGGCTGAGGTGCACGCCCGTGTGGGCGCTGATGCCGGCCGCGACGTGCTCCTTGAAGCTCATGAGACTCGTGGTCCTCGCCATCTCGCCGAACCTGCGCTGCTTCCACCAGATGATGCCTCGAATGTAGTCTAGCTGGAGGTCCGCCGCCTGCACGCCTAGGTTGTCGGCCAGGACGTGAAATCATCATTGGCAACAGAATTTCCTCCGAGGACTTCTCCGCAGAGAACCAAAAGCGTCGACCCAGGTGATGTGGCTGCGGCATAGTTATCTGCTTCCCTTCCATCGAACGTACCCAGGCCCACATACGCCCCGAACTCGTAATGCGGACCTTCGGGAAAATGGCACGCTTGAGCGGGACGAGCACCCCATCCTCTGCTTTGTCGGGAATGGCGTCGGTAAACGCACGAGCTTCGTTCAGGATGGTGTCGCGGGGTGTGTCCCGATCCCAGCCACCAATAGTCACACAGATCTTGTCGCACGCCCTCTTTGGCCCCGGCACGGACGGCTGTGCCGCCGTGTTCTCGACCCCCGAGAAGGGCAGCGGGTGCCCGACCGACGAAGCCGCCGTGGATGAGGGAGCTGCCGAACGTCCCTCTCGCAAGTCCTTGATCTCCTGCTCCATGTTGTTGAGGCGCCCCTCGTGCCTCTCGACGTCATCTTTCGCCATCGTCTTCTTGATCTCGGAGCGCAGCATTTCTCTGACGTGCATCATCATCGTAGGCCCGTCCATGGCTGCAGGGACTGGCACAGGCTCGCGCGAGCGGCTGCGCGAGCCCATCGACTGCTAGCACGAAGAGGCAGAGTCGTGAAACAGATGGCAGCTGCGAGCCCCAGCCCGTGTCGCCGCTTGAGCCAAAATGGATGATGATGCTGATGCTGATGATGATGACGATGATCATGAAGAGGGGGAGGAGGAGGAGGAGGAGGAGGAGGAGGAGGAGGAGGAGGAGGAGGAGGGGAAACAGGATAAGGCGTATATGAAGAGGAGGAGGAGGAGGAGGAGAAGGATGTGTGTGTGTGTGTTGGGTGGGGAGAGAGGAGGTGGGGATACAGGATGGGGGATGGGCGACAGAAGTTCGGGCATGGTGCGCCAAGGTGGAGGATGCGAGTTATGACGATGATGACGATACCGATGATGCTGATGATGGGGACGGTAATGATGGTAATGATGGTGATGAGGATGCAAGAGGAGGAGGAGGAGGGAGGAGGAGGAGGAGGAGGAGGAGAGGAGGAGGGAGGAGGAGGAGGAGGAGGAGGAGGAGGAGGAGGAGAGGAGGAGGAGGAGGAGGAGGAGGAGGAGGAGAGGCGGAGGAGGCGGAGGAGGAGGAGGAGGAGGAGGAGGAGGAGGAGAGAGGGGGTGAACGACGAAAGATGAGCAGTGAGTGGACAGACGAGGATGAGCAGGAGGCAGATAATGGGTAAGAGAGGATGGAGGATTCGTATAGGAATGGATGCTGGAGCATGGGAAGAGATGAGAAGGACGATGCTGCCGATCATGATGACGACGACGACGGTGACGGTGACGGTGATGGTGGTGGTGATGGTGATGATGATGCTGCTGCTGATGATGGTGATGCGGTGATGATGGTGATGGCGATGATGATGGTGGTGGTGTTGATGATGATGCTAATGATAAGGAGGAGAAGGGGGAGGAGGAGGAGGAGGAGGAGGAGGAGGAGGAGGAGGAGGAGGAGGAGGAGGAGAGAAGGAGGGGGAGGAGGCTGAGGAGGAGGAGGAGGAGCAGAGGAGGCAGGAGGAGGAGGAGGAGGAGGAGCAGGAGGAGGAGCAGGAGGAGGAGGGGAGGGAGGATGATGATGATGGAGATAAGGGCGTGCCAAACATTACATCAGCCGCTACCTACCCCCTCCACCTCAACATCCCTCTCTCCCTCCCCATCCACCCCCACTCTCCAGATCATCTCCCGCTCGGTATCGCCCTTCCTTTCCCGATCCCCTTCTCATTCCCCTCCCCTCTTTCCCACTCCTTCCCGCCCCCCCCCCCCCCACCTCCTCCAAACCGCCATCGCCCCTGCCCGCTCTCTCATTCCTTTACCCGTGCACCCCCCCCCCCCGCTCTTCTCCCCTGCATCCGACCCCCACCTCCTCAACACCTCCCCGTCCCGGCCCATGCCTCCTCGACTCCCCCTTCTCCTGCCCTCCCCCCTGCCCCTTTCTCTCTCCTTCCCCTCCCCTCCCGTTCACCAGCCTCTCTCCTTCCCATCCCCTCCCCTCTCCTTCGCCCGTCTTCTTCTCCTACACCTCTTTCCTTCACTCCCTCCCCCCTCGCCCTCTGATTCCCTTACCGCCCTCCTTCGCAGGCAGTGGCAGCCAGTGCTGCCGGCGCCTGGAGGCGAAGCAGGCGGGAAGCCTCACGAGCAACAGTGCTGGGGTCAGCGCGCGCGAGAATGCAGGCTGTGGCAGCATGGTCTGCCAATGCAAGACAAATCGCTGCGGAAGCACGCGCGATCCATGCCCCAAGGCCGAAAAGAGCCCTGGGGCGAGAGAGATCGTCGATACGACGGGTTCCTCCAAAGAGGTAAGGAACACAGCTCCCCCAATTTTGGCCGGCCCGCGTCGGTCGGCGGTGTGTGGCAGGTCCCGAGGGGCTCTGGGGACGAGGATCCTTCTCTTCATGGCGAGCTTGAAGAATTGACCCCTGGACCTCTGCATTCTGATGGTAATTTCGAGCTGGATCCGCAAACGCGGAAGACGCTCGAACACCTCGAGTCTCGAATCTCGAAGTCCGAGGGCCCCAGGAGTCAGCCTCCGGACCTCTCACGGGGTGCGTTCGGACCAGAAGTGCAAGGCGGACCCGGCCGTGGCCACGAGGGCGCCGCCGGAGGCCCAAGAAGGCAGAACAACGCTCAAACATCCCGATGCAATAGACACGTACCATAAGAGTTCTTGCTCTTGGAAATCTTGGAGCACATGCTTCGTCGATCTTCGAGGGTCCCAACTAAATTGTCCCAGGGCTTCTGTGGATCCCTGGGGCCATGGGAGGACAAGAAAGCTCAGCGGGGTACCTGCTCGCAAGCCGACCGGCTTTCTTCTTAATGTGCCGACCTGCTTCCCCCGCCAACGGCCCCGTTCCGCAACAGACATGCAAGCGCGAGGTCCCGGCGATTGCCCCATGAAGCGTGCAGCCGGTGTCGTGTGAAGCCGAACAAGCGACGAGGGGGGCAGACAGCAGAGACGGAAGAGCGGGCGCGATTGCGTTCGGTCTGGAGGAGGGCAAGGGGACGACTCGGCCAGGCGAAACTCGGCCAGGCTGAACTCGGCCTGGCCGAATGCAGCCGGCTGAGTTCAGCCTGGCCGAGTTTGTCCTGGCCGAGCCTACAGACAACCCGTGCAACGAGGACGCACGGTATAAGCATGCAAGGGCCTCGGAAGGCCAGGCCGACGCTCTGCGAGCGGGGCGCGGCCGGCGAAAGCGGCCAGGGATGGGCCGAAGGGGCAAGATGCAAAGGTACCCTTGGAAAGTAGCTCATCCGTGCTATGCGGGTTGACCGTAAAATCAAGGTTAGGCGCATTCAAAGCGAATCCTAAGCAGCTAGCGGCGGCGGCAGGCGAACAAGGCTGCTGGTGCCCATGCGGGCTATGTGGGTGCAAGGCCTGCGCGCTGGCACTAGCCTGTCTGGGGCTTGCCTGCCTGGGTAACCTTGGAAAGTGGCTCGGCCTTAGTACTCGTGTTGACTGTAGTGACTGCCCGAGGAGCCCCTCGCCCCTGGCGGGGCGACGCACACACAGTATTAGTATGTTGGGGGGGCGCCGAGAGGATGCAAGGGCGACCTTGGAAAGTGGCTCATCCTTAGCGTTCGGGTTGGCTGTGGCTGCTGCCCGGGGAGCCCCTCGCCTGCCCCAGGGCTGCGACCAGTCCTCGGACGCCATCGCCGCGCGCGGCGCCCCGCCCTGGCGGCCGGCCCCCCCCGCGCGCGGCGCGCCGCCTGGCGCAGTGTCGTCGATGCCGTCGTCGTCGTCGTCGTCGCGGTCGTCGTCGTCGCCGTCGTCGTCGTCGCCGCCGCCGTCGTCGTCGTCGTCGTCGTCGCCGTCGCCGTCGTCGTCGTCGTCGTCGTCGTCGTCGTCGTCGTCGTCGTCGTCGTCGGCGTCGGCGTCGGCGTCGGCCTCGGCGTCGGCGTCGGCGTCGGCGTCGGCGTCGGCGTTGTCGTCGTCGTTCTCGTCGACGTCGTCGTCGTCGTCGTCGTCGTCGTCGTCGTCGTCGTCATCATCAGCGTCGTCATTGTCAGCGTCGTTGTTGTCAGCGTCGTCGGTGTCATTTCCGTTGTGGTCGTCTGAGCAAGATGGACGAGGAAGAGGCAGAAGGAGAAACCAGGGAGGATGAGGACGGAAGCGGGACGCGGGAGGCGAAGCGGGAACCAACCGCCATCAGCTACAACGTCGGGATCATGGCGTGTGGGACGGGTGAGCGGCGGCAGCGGTCGTTAGCGCTGCTACGGGCGATCCGGGAAGCGAGGGTTCACCTGCAGTGTGGGTATCAGCGGTTGCGAGAGTGACGGGCAGTGGGCATTGGTGCAGTGGCAGCATGGGCCGTGGCCCGCAGCGTCTAGGGCGCGTGCGCCGCTGGCATCCTGGCGCGGCTGGTGCGGCGGGGGCGTGCCCACTCCAGGACGCAAGCGAAAGGAAACGAGGATGATGAGGCCCCCTTTTCAACATGGGGCCCTCAATTGAGACACCCCGAAACATGTTGGCCCCAAACGCAACCTTGTGCAATAGCTACACGCGTGGTTTCTGGCTACTTTTCAGCGCCCATCTAACTGGGACTCCACTAACGCGTACTTTGGCCAGTGACCCGGCGAACCCAACCCTCCCCGATGTGAGCGACGCTGCAATGCTAGAACGAGGCCCTAAAGCGGCAACTTTCGGCAAATTTCCAAAACGTACCCGTCAAAATGAACACCCGTTACGGTGCCGCTGAGCTTTTCAAGCGGGACCCTCGCCGGACACTCACTCAAACTTCGTAGTGCGACAACTCCGCTTTTCTTTTCGAACTGGGGCTCTCGCTTGTTTTTTGAACGGGCGGTCGTCTTTCAAGGGGGCGCTCGTTTCTTTGTGTTTGTTTCCTTTGTTTTTAGGGGGACCCTCGCCAGACACTGACTTAAATTCCACAGTGCGACCTCTTCGCTTGTTTGTTGTTGTCGTTGTTTTCTCTTCGCAGCGTGGGGCCCTCGCGCGCATGGCAGGCCCAAGGGGCGCTCGCGTCTTCTTCGAGGGCGCTCCCGGCAGTGAGAAAAACGTGCACGACGGCAGGGACTTGGCGAGGAGTGGGCCTGGGGACGGCAGGGTTCGCTGCAGCAGCGCCGATGCATCCTGGGTCTACACTGGTCCCACTCCCCTCCTCCTGCTCCTCCACCTCCTCCCTCTACATCTCCTCCTCCTCCTCCTCCTCCTCCTCCTCCTCCTCTTCCTCCTCCTCCTCCCTCTACTCCTGCTCCTCCACCTCCTCTCTCTCTCTCTCCTCCTCCTCCTCCTCCTCCTCCTCCTCCTCCTCCTCCTCCTCCTCCTCCTCGAACACTTCCTCCAACCCCCCCTGTCCCTCCTCCTCATCATCCTCAGACCCCCTCCTCCCTCATTAAACTCCAAAAGGCAACGACGGCGGCGGCGGCAAAGACGGCGAAACAGCGGGGCGTCGGCGACGGCAGCGGCGGCTGCGGTGCATCGCGCGCGTCGCGAGGGAAGGTGGACATGATGCCATGATGCCGTCGTCATCATCGTCATCATCGTCATCATCGTCATCATCGTCATCATCGTCATCATCGTCATCATCGTCATCGTCGTCATCGTCATCATCATCATCATCATCATCAACATCATCAACATCGTCGTCATCGTCATCGTCGTCATCGTCATCGTCATCGTCATCGTCATCGTCATCATCATCATCATCATCATCATCATCATCATCATCATCATCATCATCATCATCATCATCATCATCATCATCATCATCGATCATCACACCTCGACCGTCGTCGTCACCGATGTCATCGCGCGTCGCATCGCGCGCGCCGCGAGGGGCACGGGCGGCGGAGGAGAGGCGGCGGCGGGCGCCGGCGGCGGCGCACCGCGCGCGTCGCGAGCGGGGGGGGTGCGAATCAGGCGGAGATGCGGGCTCGCCCAGCGTCTCTGCTCCGGGACCTGTGCGGCGGGAGCTCGCGCGCGCGCGCGCGAGCTCGCCAGGAAGGCTCGAGCGCTCCAGCGTTATCTCGGGCGCCTCGGACCGGCATCCGCGCGGCGGTGGCTCGCCGCTTCTGGCGTCGTGGGGCTGCTGACGGGCCCTGGGGCTGCCAAGAGAAACAAGCGGTGACGAAGAACTGGCCGCCCAGGAAAGGGGCCGAGACCCCCGCGAGGACCCTCTATTGAAAAACACGCTGCTGTCTTGTCAGAAGTCTGGGGCCATGGCGGGTCGTCGGGGTGCAGTCGTCCAACTTCTGCTGCTGCTGCTGCTGCTGCTGCTGCTGCTCCCTGCCGCTGCTGCTCCCTGCCGCTGCTGCTCCGGCTGCTCGTCCTCTTATTCCTCCCCCCTCTTCTCCTTCCTTCCTTCCTCCCTCCCTCCTTCCCTGCTCCTGCTCCTGCTCCTGCTCCTGCTCCTGCTCCTGCTCCTGCTCCTCCTCCTCCTCCTCCTCCTCCTGCATCGTCCTCCCCTTCTCCTCCTCCTCCTCCTCCTCCTCCTCCTCGAAGACATCTACGATAGCACCCAATACTATATCAACCAGATCGAAGGGAACCTCGGCATACCCATCTCGCGCAAGCGCGGGACCAAGCCAGGCAAGAGTTATTTCATCACAGCCGCCAAGGAGCTGCGCCACACCTGCAGATCAATGGCCAACTACTTCGGCTACCAGATCAAGGCCACGGGCCAGCAGCTCGGAGTGGACACCGCGGGGGGGGGGCCCGATATCACGACAGAAGGCTGGCTCGAGAATCCGCAAGGCCTGGGGCAGGAAGAGGAAGCTGCTCAGCCTCAAGGCCAGCGGCGCCACCACCAGAGCTGTGGTCAATAATGGCCTGCTGCCCAGCATGTTCTACGCCTCGGCCAGCTTCGGGGTCCCCACCACGGTCCTCAACGCGGCCCGCATCCTCATGTCCAGCGGCCTCGGCAGCGAGCCCATGGGCAAGGACAGGGCCTTGCGGCTTTGGCTTCGCTCGGCAGACCCGATCGTGCATGCCACCCTCACCCCGATGGGCAAGTGGGCCACTGTCGTCTGGGACTCAGGCGCCGACTGCGCTGAGCTCGAAGCGGGCTGGCGAAGGGCAGTGCGCCTAGCAGCAGCTAGGCAGGCCCCCACCGCAAGTTCGACTGGACGCACGTCAGGGGCCCTGCCACCGCGCTCTACGGATTTCTGGACAGACTTGGATGGACATGGCCAGCACCGCACATCATCATGACGCATCACCAGGAGCAGCTGAACATGCGGATCGTACCACCCTCTACGATCAAGGCGCTCGCGCTAGCCAGGCTCGAGCAGGTCGCAATGGAGGAGTGGGCCGAGAAGCACGAGCTACCTGGAGTTTCACGACCTTTGTCTGGAACCGGTACGCGCCCTCCTCCGCCAGAAGGCTCAGCGTTTCTGCCTGAGGCGAAGAGGCGCAATCGAGAGCTACCTGTGCGCCGCCTTGCACACGAGATGTACGATGGCGCCGAGGAGAGACAGACATACGAGACTGCCAAGCATGCGGCAGTGAGATCGGCACCCAGCAGCACAGGTTCTGCAGGTGCAGTGCGCTCGACCAGCAGCGCAGAGATATTGCCGACGACAACGCTGAAATTATTCACGGGGCCACCAGGGCCACGGAGGGAGCGCCACTTTTTGCCCGAGGCATTGTCGATCACCCTGTGGCGGATCCCACCTCAGATTTTCAGATTGACCGAATTCAAACCCGAACAAGAGAGCCAGGCCTGCACAGTGGCTTCGCTTTCTCCGGCGGATCGGGAGTAGGGCATCCAGGATACAAGAGTTTCGGTTGGGGTTTCTCGTTCGTGAGAGAGTCGCCTTTCGTCGTCGAATTCTCGCAATGTGGATGCCCTGCTGGAGTGCGATCAGCCCTCTCTGTCCTGCGGTGTGAGCTGTTAGGCTTCGCGCACCTGCTGCAGTTCGCCACTCCCCCCGCTCACCGTAGGAATAGATAACGACACATTGTTTCGAGGCCTCCGAAGAGGCCGAGCCTGGTGCACCAACGGAGTTCGCTCGCATGCCGACGTTTGGACTCAGGTTTGGAACGTGCTCGATGATAGTTTTCCTGGCCTGGTGGGGCTCACTACGGTCAAAATCAAATCCCATTCCTCGCAGCACCTGAATTCGGATGACCCTAGAGTGAGCCTCCTGGCACGTGGGAATGAAGAGGCGGACGAAGCGGCCCGTGAAGGGGCTGACCTCGCCCCTCGACTTGTAGGCACCAGCATGACGTACAAGCAACGATATACTGACGTTCAGGCAGTTTTGAGCTTCGTGGCCGACCTTACAGTTAGGACGGGGTCTTTTGCCGACACTACCCCTACCCCCCCCCCTTGCCAGGAGGAGAGGGGGAGGAGGAGGAGTGTTGGCCCCCAGAGGAAGGCCCCACGCTGCCCTGCAGAGACCCCACCTGGTTAGTTTCTCAGGGCCTGCCGTCTCCTGCCTCAGATGCGGACGCAAAACCACCACGCGGAAGGAGCGCGCCAGATTCAGATTCCAGGGGTGCCTGGGCCGCACGGCGTGTAGGAGGCCAGGAGGCCAGGCTCCCCCTTCCTCCTCCTCCGACCTCCTCCTCCACCACAGGTAATAGGAACCTGTTCCGAGGCCACGCACTCTGGAAGACAGGCCCGTTTGTTTTCTGTTTTAACTGCGGGAGCTTCTCGTCGCTCACGTTGCGGGGCTTGGCCGAAATCTGTAAGTTCACACCTGCAGATAAGAATGCTAAGACCCGTAGGAACCGCCTGCGACAGGGCAA